GATAGATAGATAGATAGATAGATAGATAGATAGATAGATAGATAGATGTGTAATTTTAAATGGCCTGTAATTTCTTCTGTTTGAGGAATGTCCGGTGTGGATTCATCCTCAACCCATAAAGTTTGGCAACTCATCTATAATGTAAAGTCGTAAAGAGTCCCCTTGTGCTATGAGAGGCATTCACCCATGGCCACAGAGCTAATATACTTCAAAAAGTGGACCTAGCTTCAAGTCTTCATAGCTCCAAGGCCCATCCTCTATATATTGCACTTGTTGCCTCTCAGATATAATACTGTAGATATACTCTACCTTGGAGGATTGTAAGGAGCCTAACTAAGCCCTTAGTTCTGAGATCCCTGATAGAGGTCACCTAATGGTGACCTATATCACACTTGTCCATTCGAGGGTAATGAATAGAAGACTCACTGTAAAGGAGGTGGCACAATTTTCTTGGTCATTGGCCACTGGGTCAATCACTCCCTGAAAATATCTTCAAGCTGAGAGAGACTGAACTAGATAATATATGGCATCATTGTGTCACCATGTTGCCTGCCTCATGACTGGTCCTTTGAAGAGTAAGTAGAGCTAGCAGGCCCATATGTATTTTTAAAAGGCCAATAGCAGTACATGGAGTATCAAACCATCACCATTAAGATAAATGGAGTTAAAATGGAAGAAATGATTCCTCACTCCCTTCCCCTCATAAATAAGCCTCGTTGTCAGTTAAACCCTGGAAATCGAGCCCTGATGTCAAATTGTCCACACAAATTGCAGAGAAAGAGGTTGTACCCATCCCCCTCATTTAGAGAACCAAATTCTGCCTGTAAACAGACACAGGGATCATCAGATGCCTACACAAGTAGACATGGTCTGGTTTATAAACCTAATGTTATCTTTTTAGTTTGTGAGTTGGTGGTGTTTGTGTGACTATATTGGTCCCTCATCAAGACTGAATGAGTCAGAACCTCCACCTTTTATTAAGCTCACTGGCTGAAATGCAGACACTCTCATCCAGCATTCTTAGAAACCTTGAACTTTAAGCTCGTCTTTCCCCCTCCCTCACTGCTCAAGACAACTCCATTTTCCAACAAAAGGCAAAATATTTCTCATTTCCTTCTGGAACATTGTTTGGAGTCAAGGAACAAAGGGCATGCCAGCAGTTAGCTTGCTGTCTAAAATGATAACATCAAGACAGCATCAGCAGTTGGCAGAATAATAGTCTTGTTGTATCTGTGAAACAGTCCTACTACTTTTTTATAGGTACAATTTCCCTGGGAGTATAAGAGGAACTCTATATTGATATATCAGGTTGAGGCCACTATTCAAAGGTCCAAGAAATTATTACCAAGTATTATTTGTCTTCGCACCATAGAGGAAAGGACTCAGGACCTGAAGTCAGATGCAGCCTGGCTTAAAACTCTGCCTGTCGCATGTACGAGCTCTGTGGACACTTAATACTGCCTCATCTTTAGAATGAGAATAATAACACCAGTAGCTGCCATCATACAGGTTTGTTATGTGGGTTACCTCTAATAAAATGTGTACTGCTTGAGGTCAGGAACTACCTGTCATCCAACACAGTGACCAGCACATAATTAGTGCTTAATAGATGCTTGTTGATTTGAACTGAATTGATCAAAAGAGATAATATATGAAAGGTACTTTAATAGAGCTATTATTTGCAATTTCATGGGTTTTTTTTAGCAAAGTTCCTTACTACCCTATTTACTAGTTCAGTATCATCACTTCCATTTTATAAAGTAATAAAAATTACTTTCAAAAGGTTAAACCTTTTGAATGCATACACCATCAACCTCTTTCATTGCCATGAAACTACTGGGGTTTCATAAGCCAGACTACCATAGTGTCCAAACATTAACTTGTACCTATAGTGGGCAGTAGAGAGAGAGAAATTCTCCCACATCTCTCTCTTTGTGTGGTAAAACTCTTGCACCATATTTGAATGCTCAGTCCTTGACATGCTAAGAAATTGATCCCTTTGAAGATAGAAGTTCTACAGCAGTTTTAG